CACTGGCTTTAAAAACTAATTTTCATATATACATATTTATATTATGTACAAGTTCATATATATATGCTTTCATTAAATTACATTGTTCTATCACTAACTATCTTCAACCTTCCCTCATCTCAACATTCACCTACTTTTATCATCGAAAAGGCCTTTCCTACTTTCATGACTTTCTCACGCATTAAATCGTCATTCATCTACAGATCACACAAGTATAGGGACAGATAATAAACAAACAGAAACATAAATTATACCCTTCTAATTAGAAATGATTACAGTTAAAACACAGCTGCATCATACATTAAATTTAACTGGTCAATCAGACAGTCTGCTAAAGTTCATGAAAACAATAAATCTTCAAATACCAAGGATTTGTATAGTGTGGATTACTATACAAATCCTTGCAAATACTTAACACGCTTGACCATAGTAAATTAATGTGGGCAATTAAATACCGATCTTAGATAAGAAATAAATGTACAAAGTTTTACTCTATGACACATATTGATATGACATAAAGTAATGTTAAAATTATTAGAATTAGACTAAAAAACGAGCATACCTTTTATATCCCGCATCCCTTTGCTTGGGATGAGTGTTTTTAAGTTTCTCTAAAAAGTCTCCAAGGTCCGCCATCTTTGATCTTGGGATATTTCTATCATGAGATTCTAAATTAATCTAGAATATAATGCATGTAATAAAAATTTATGCACAATAGTTAAAACTTTGCTTAACAGCTCTTATATGAGGACTGGTTGTGGCTATTTTATTTGATAAACTTTATACTGATATGTCCTTATTGTCAAATGCATCAGGTTAAATGTAAGTCATATAAAAATAGGATAGTATATAATATTACTTAAACATGTTATCCAGGATATCTTTGTATATATATATTTATATCTTTGGTAGCTTTTTACACTAGACTCCAGAATTGGTTTTTTTTTATACATTTTGCTGTATTCTCATGATTTGATACTTTTTGTCTCACTTGCAGGCATTAAAAGATTTCAATTATGCAGTACCAGTTTATTATATTTTTACACATATATCATGTGTATCTCAGCTGCATGTGCATTTGTCATTGTTTTTTCATAACTATTTCTATATGAACATGCAATAGAGTATACATTGTATTTTCAGTTGTTATGTATAATACACGTGATACATCAAATAATGATCGTTTCGTTGTATGATTTCATGTATATTTTGTTGTGTAATTTATATATCATTCAATGTTTTGATATCAAACAGCACCAAAATTCCATCAAAAAAAGAATAATATTTCATTAATTGTCCATTAAACATAAGTAATACACGGCTAATTATAAAAATGTAATAGCTTAATTAATTAATTTATAAATATACCTCAGCTTCTTTATGTTCTTTTCCGTGTGTATAAAGTTCTGTGTGTTGAAAATGGTATTTTGAATTTTATTTATGACCTATTTCCTCTAGCAGGCGCTCCCGTTAATTCAAAACAGAGCGTGGTCAAGTGATATACATAATTGTCAATTATAACATGTGTTAGTCAGTATGGATGAAAGGAAAGTTGTTTATTTTAAAGATAGAATATTTGCAAGGCACAAGAATGTGCATCAGATTAAAATAAATATCAGAGATAATTTATAATATATATTAATGAAAATCGGATAAACATGCACTGACCACAATTTATCAATTGAAAGAACATTGTTTTTGAGAGACGCAAAATATTGTTTCGTATAGCACACCAAAGTTAAAACAATGAATAATCTATCAATTAAAACTATGTACAGTTATAATGTTAAAATTTGCTCAAAAACGACCGAATAGTATGTAAATTTTACAACAGAATTACTAAACACAATATTAGAAAACGTATTATTTAGGTCGGTTAGACATTACAAATACAGTATTACTTGCATACATTCAAATGACGTTTTTATTAAGAAATAATTTACGTTAAAAAAATACCGTCAGAACAACGTCATTATAACGTATCTGTAAAATTCAGTTACGTAAATGTAATGTGTATTGTACGTCATGATATACGTAAAAGTTCGACGTTTTAAAAACGGCTTTACAACATAATTTTAAAAGCTCATTACGTAAATATTACGTAAAAATATGTTATGTTTTTTACGTTACCAAACCTCGACGTCACAATGATGTCAAACTAAGGTAAAGTATAGCAGTTACTTATATATACAACCAAATTATTACGTCGTGCTTACGTCGTGTGTTTCCTTGGTTGACATGGTTTGGGCATTTAAATATCTTTGGAAATCAAATCTTGATTTTTAGATCTCTTTTCATCAGTTAGTTTTCTGCTTCATAAAGGTTTACTCAAAATCTTCTATTCATATTCTGTCTAAATTATAAAATTTATATTTAATATATATTTTTCAGCAGGATTAGGAAGACACTTTCCTCATTACAAAACACTGTAACAGTATGATGCTTGTTCAGGTAAATATTTATACCTGAGGCCAAACATGATGTCTGACCTGTCGAAAAGGTCACCTGTTACATTTTGTACCTGGACTTTGGCAGAGGTTTTTTACAAAGGTAATTGAAAACAAGTTAGATTATAGTTTTAGGTAATATAGTCTTTTTAAATTATATTTATTTTCGTGAAAAATGAAATTTGAAATTTTGCTGAAATCATATTTTAATAAATAGTTGTTTATATTTTGGGTCTTTTTTCAACAAATTATGAAATAAATATTTTATTTATTATACTTATATTATTAAACTGAATATTGGATTACCCAAAGGTACATAGCTTTTACAGAGTTTATATGAAACAAAAAAGAAAAAGAAGTAAAATATGACAGCTCATAATTTACTGTTAGGTTATATACTAAAGAATAGATTTTAATGTGGTAATTTAAACTAGGTAGATAAAAACATTGTCTGAAAACCCTTGTAACTATATTTTTCAAGAATTAATGGACTGATTAAGGGGTAGAAAATCCAAGTCATTACCTCCCAACCAACAGTCCCAATGGCTTTCCTACTAGCTCATAAAATACATTTATATTTGTTTCAAATGGTTCAGCTCATATTTATACCCTTTTAATTTCTGACTAAGTACCACCCTCTTTTATCAAACCCCACATGGTTAAGTTTCTAATTATTAGTTCTTGATTTATTTTCATTTATTGTTTGCAGTCCACCTAAATTAGAGTAGTGACCATTGATAATTTACTGATAATCTACTTTGATAACATGTTTACATTGTTAATCATTTCTACAGTAAACAAAGTGGCAGGTCTCCAGAACAAATTCCTGCAACTATTATTCATCAATTCTTGTACTATTTCCAGGAATATTTTGCCATATCTCAGTATGATAAATCCATATTTCCGTTACTTAATTTTTAAAATGTAATCAGTTTTGTAAATTAAGATATTAAATGGTTGAGTGATGTGAAGGTTTCATTCCATTCATAAAAAAACAGGTGTCTGTTTCAACAAGGTAGTCAATAGATATGTGGGTCATTTACTACCACTGGGAAGATGATAGCTACTATTTACAAGGGAACATCTCAAAACATAAAAAACAACCTGGGGTAGTGAACCTATTATTTTATTTTTATTTTGTTTATTACCTGAAAAAAAAAAAAAATGAAATGGCATTTTTCAAAAAATGTTATTTCACAATTTTATATTTCCTGTAATAAAAAGCTAGCAATATAATAAAAGTTTGTTGAATTTCATCACAAGAAAGTTAATCTTGCTTAAATTGTCAGTTATGAATAAGTATGATGAAAATGACATAGATAAATATAAGAAAATATGAATTATATGTGTCAATTAACTATATTAGCAGCACCTTAAAGGTAAGAGTAGGACTTGTGATAAATATAGATAGAAACAAAGCATTAGTGTGTAAAGGTTGTAATCAGTGCTTGAATGTAGAATAAAGTAAGGTATGTGATTCCTCATTCTTGGAATTCCAAAAGTTTAATTTCTTTCTGGAAAATATCATTGACATATTTAGAATATATAATTTGTATAGATCTATTTTGATTTTAAGCCATGGCGATATATAGACATAAAAAAAATCAAGTGAATGAAAAATGTTATGAAATGTAAAAAAAAATGATGCGCATAACAAATACCTTTCCATATGGGAAATAACTTAACTAAAGGTATTACTAATGAAGAAATTGTTATGAAAAGGAGAAACAATTAAAGGAATAAAACACAATCAACAAGAAACAAAACAAAAACAATTTTGAAAAAGATATAACGGATGTTGGCATCTGAGCTAGTGAAACAAATGTGCTATACAATTTTTAAGGATTTAGGAAAATGGGAACTGTACATTCCTTTCAATTTAAAGCAAATATTGTTTAATCTTTTCAATTACTGTGTCAAACTTCCTACTTTATATTATTGCAAATTAATTCATCGTAACATTAGTGTCAATCAAAAGTTCCTCAATATTTTCAATAAATAGAAGTTAGTACTTAGGGGTTCCAAAATAACATGGGTTTTCACAAATGATGTAAATTAAACAATAAGTAACTGAAATAAGGACATCAATACATTTATAAGGTAGCACATATTGTGCAACTTCTGAAATTATCTCCATAAAATTTCTAAACACACATGAACCAACACTGGCCAAGTCTTATCTTTGGTAATGATCAAAATTGTTTAAAAAAATGAAGAATTTTGTTTTATTCATTTTAGATATGAACATGATGAAAAGTAAAATTGATATAAGTTTTAGATATTATCCAAGTCTATGAACAATCATAAGTTTTAATGTTGAAATAGTAATGAATATTTTGTTTATAGCTTATTTATTATTCTGGCATTATTAAGAGAATTGTCAGCCTAAAACAATATCAAAATACTTGGATTTCCATCTCAATTACTTCTTAGCTGTCAGCCTTGAGCTGAAGCACTAAATACTGGCAATAGCTAACCACTTGTTACATAATGGTATCTGAACTATCTAAAGTGGTAAGCATTATACATTTTGAGATGATCCATTCTGTAAATATTAGTAGCATCACTGAATAATTACACCTGATAAAAAAGCAGATAATCACAGAAAATCTACAAAATATTTGTTATCATTGTTTTTATTTGATTTCAGTTAAATATAGTACTACACTTGATTGGATGGTTTATCTCAATAGTTTTGCTGGATTTTTGTATCATTCCCTCCAGTTTTCACAGGTAAGTACTTTAAATTACAGGTGAAAATGTTATGTACGATTGCCATAACAATGAACTTTCTCATTATTTTGACATACTTTCAAATTTGAACTGTTAGTTTGATTATTCTGTATGAATTAAGTGAACATAATGTATTAATGAAATAAAGCATGTACATCCACAGTAGAAAATGTTACCCTTCCTAATGAGATTTTTGAATGATTTAGGTAAATTTAAGTTGATATTTCTGTTCAGTACATGAAATAGCATGTGATGTTTCTTCGACCAATAAAAGCCATAAATAGGCTTAAATTTTAGATTCTCTTGTAATTAAAAATGACACAATTTCAAAGCATACTATGAATAGGATCAGACTTACACATATAGATTTATTTCGTCTTCAAGTCATTGTTCCACTACTAAATTGTCTATTCTACTTACTAGTACACTTGGTACAATCAAAAACCTGATTATAAATTGTTCAAATAAGGCCTTTGAAAATAGTGGCATTAATTACTTTTGGAGTGTCAAAAACTCGTTGGAAGTACTTGATAAATTGCATGCAGTTATTGGTGATTTTGAATCAGTTCAAAGTTTTGATTTTTCTACCCTATATACCACTTTGCCTCATATTCTTATTAAGAAAAAATTCACACACCTAATTAAATGGGCATTTAAAAAGTCGGAATGCGAATACATATGTTCAAACTCTTTTAGGTCATTTTTTAGTTGCAACAAACAAAAGAACTATGTCAATTGGACATGCTTTGATACTATATCTGCCCTTGAATTTTTACTTGATAATATTTTTGTTCGCTTTGGAGATTCTGTATATCGTCAAGTTATCGGAATTCCAATGGGGACTTACTGTGCACCACTTATTGCGGACCTGTTTTTGTATTGTTATGAGTTAGAATTTATGACTAAAATCAGCAAAGACCCATCGAAACAACATCTGATACAAAAATTTAACACTATTGTTAGATATTTGGATGATATATTGGCTCTCAATAATGACGACTTCAGTATGTATACTAAAGAAATTTATCCTGTTCAACTTACTTTAAATAAAGCTAATACTAACAATGACCACTGTCCTTTCCTTGATCTTGATATCTATATCATTAACGGGAAGCTTAATACACAAATTTATGATAAAAGAGATGATTTTTCATTTCCTATCGTTAATTATCCATTTTTAGATGGTGACGTTCCCTTGTCACCATCTTATGGTGTTTATATATCTCAACTTGTACGATTCGCTCGTGTATGTAAGAACGTATTAGATTCTAGCGAGAGAAATTTATGTATTACTGAAAAACTATTACACCAGGGTTTTCGATATCATAAACTAGTCATAACATTTACTAAATTTTATCATCGGTATAAGGACATCATTCGTAAATATAACTCAACATGCAGATATCTTATTCGTTCGGGTATTTCACATCCAATCTTTTATGATAATATTCTTTACAAAGCACAAAAATGTCAGTATTCACCTCAAAAGCTAACAAAACCTTTAAACAGACTTATTAAGAAGGGATATAGTTACGATACTGTTGTCAGGTCATTAAAGATTGCATATTTTGGCTTTAATATTAATTCACTTATAGGATCTTTGCATCGGAATTAAACACATTTATTCTAAAACCAGTTGTTGGCATGACACGGGTTATGTTCTTCTCATATATTTTATGACGGTATAATACTAAACCCCTAACAGGAGGGATTGTGCCTGATATTCATATGATGAAGACATAATCTTTTAATCAGTTTAATTGAGGTCTGGAGCTGGCATGTCAGTAACTGCTAGTAGTCTGTTGTTATTTATGTATTATTGTCATTTTGTTTATTTTCTTTTGTTTCCTATTCTGACATCGGACTCGGACTTCTCTTATACTGAGTTTTACTGTAAGTACTGTTGTGTGTTTGTTTTTTCTACATTGGCTAGAGGTATAGGGGGAGGGTTGAGATCTCAAAAAACATGTTTAACCCCGCTGCATTTTTGCGCCTGTCCCAAGTCAGGAGCCTCTGGCCTTTGTTAGTCTTGTATCATTTTTAATTTTAGTTTCCTGTGTATAATTTGGAGTTTAGTATGACGTCCATCATCACTGAACTAGTATACATATTTGTTAAGGGGCCAGCTGAAGGACGCCTTTGGGTGCGGGAGTTTCTCACTGCATTGAAGACCCATTGGTGGCCTTCGGCTGTTGTCTACTCTATGGTCAGGTTGTTGTCTCTTTGACACATTCCCCATTTCCATTCTCAATTTTATTGTACTAGTTTTACTAAAATATATAACAATTTAAGAATAGCAGTCTTTCAAAGTTTTGAGTACCAGAGGCTAGAAAACAGAAGATTGAAGAATTGAAGTGTTATCAGTCTCAAATATTGAAAAGTGTTAAAAGATAGATAGTCCTACAAGAATAGAGAATAACAAATGTACTAAGCTCCAAAGTGTAAAAAGTCAATGAAAAAAGATAGCTAGTCCTGCAAAAATAGAGAATAACAAATGTACTCGCCCTATGACTTTTAGGGCACAAAGTAGGCTGTCTAGAAGAGTAAATAGAAGGCAATTACATTAGCCTTCTGATTCTATAGCAGGAAATCCCTGAATAATGTTTTATTTGGACTGATATTTTGTTTGAGACTTGAAAGCAGCTTACATTTCTGTATAATCAGTAGAAAATTATATAGATATTCAATGATTAGAAAATGCTAACATGGTTAATTCAGAAAATGATCAGTAAGATGAGACAATAAGTATGTATCAATTATGTTATCTTTTGCTGGTTACATTCTACATTCAGTACTTTATGTACAGAAATCACACAAAATCATACATTGTTATAGATAGCAATACAAAATGTTATCATTTATCTTTTGTGTTTTTGCATTTTATTTTTTTTATTTATATTTACCCAACATTTCCTTAAATTTGTTTTCGTTTGAATTAGATTTTGAATTTCCAGTCCATTTGAATAAAAAATGTTGTATGAAGTTTAATTATGATAATTTTTTAGATTTTTAAGTGAAGATTTGTTTTTCATAAATCTAAAAATGCTAATCTGTAATTTCTTTGCCAATACAATGTAATAAATTTTAGAAAGTTGAAATTTTTATGGTAATTTAATTGAAGATTTAATTATGAGAATTGTTACACTAAGTATAGAACTTACATGACTCATTCTTCATTTCTTTTCTTATACATTATGATAACTTTGTTCAATGACTATGACATCTATTTTCATTTTAAAATAGAAGAAACAAGAAGAAAGTTATGTTGAGATTTAAAAATGAACCCTCGGCCATTAATTTCTTTTGTATTAAATCACTAAAACAATGCATTGTTTTCCCATTCTTTTGTTTACTGTTTTACACTCTTAGACAGTAGTTTGATAAGCCAGGACAAGTCTTTATAAAGTTATAAAAATTAAGGTATGGTTTTGTATGTTCAAGTTTTATTAAGTTAATGTGTTATAATATTTAAAAGTTTATATCATATTATATTTTATTCAATTTTACGCACACAAAAAATTAAATAACTAGCTTACAGTCAGCACTTTAAACTCTGAGCATGATCTATATTTGCACAATGTAAAGAATATAGTGCCACGTTTCATTCTAGATTTTGAATTCCAATTTATTAAATTGTTTTTGAGTTAATTTTTATAGTAAACATATACATATAGAGAAGCAATTCCTGAACAAATTAACTATGTCATTTTATATAAAACTATTGTTGAAAATATAATACCATAGTTACAGGTATTACATACAGGTAGTATATACCTGCTCCTATAGAAGCAGAATTCACCTGTATGTTAATCATCCTTTTGTATATATCTTAGTCGTACTTCAGATGATTGGATCACAAACAGTGCATACTTTTAATACAATTGTTGCCAATGAACCAAGTGTATGTCCTGAAGCTTGACTATGGTCATTTGTAAAAGGTCAGGAAAAGCTGCTGATCTATGGTGAACTTATCTATGTACAAACAATTGTTTGGGATTCAGTTTATTATAAGTAATAGGCTACAGTAGTATATAGATGATATGTATTAATTACTTAGTAATAGGCTACAGTAGTATATAGATGATATGTATTAATTACTTAGTAATAGGCTACAGTAGTATATAGATGATATGTATTAATTACTTAGTAATAGGCTACAGTAGTATATAGATGATATGTATTAATTACTTAGTAATAGGCTACAGTAGTATATAGATGATATGTATTAATTACTTAGTAATAGGCTACAGTAGTATATAGATGATGTGTATTAATTACTTAGTAATAGGCTACAGTAGTATATAGATGATATGTATTAATTACTTAGTAATAGGCTACAGTAGTATATAGATGATATGTATTAATTACTTAGTAATAGGCTACAGTAGTATATAGATGATATGTATTAATTACTTAGTAATAGGCTACAGTAGTATATAGATGATACGTATTAATTACTTAGGCATGTTACAGGTTATAATAAGCTTAAAATCATCTAAAAAAAATCTGTAAGTTGTGAGACATATTTCCATAGATTTGTTAAAAATTCAACAGAACATTACATTCTTCTGAATCAGCATAGAGGCTTGGCATCTGTTCACAGAATTATGAAATAAAAAAGATTGGAAATACGTACATTGCTCAAGATATATAATATACGTAGATTGTGTGTGGTGTCTTTAAATATGTACAAGGAATGTTCATTAATTTTAAAAAGGCTGGTTAATTTCAAGAAGCATATGGTTTCCCTCTTAATAATTCAAATATACAATTCACAATCAATTTTGTATTTATTATTTTTTCATAACGATAATAAAGAATTTAACTCCTCACATTTTTCAGTCACTAATAACAATACTTATTAGTGAGATTGCAAAAGAAAAAAAAATCATAAAACTATTGAAAATGTGATATTTAGGCACAGTTTAATTTTATTTTTACATCACTGAACTGTTTATGTTATTTGAGGATGGTAAAGGGTTATTTTCGTGCAACGTGATCGCCGTTTTTTATTTCACGTTCAACATGTTTTTACTTTTTTATTTGACTTTCAGTCGTGCAAGACAGGTGCCTTGTTCAACGTGTTCTGCTTATTTAATTTTACGTGCATCGTGATTTTCAAATGCTTATTTTGCGTGCTCGGTATTTTTCAAATAAAATTCAAACACTTGGCAGGGATCGTCAAGAAATACTTTTTAAAAAGCCGTAAACCATTTATATCATAAATGTGTATACTAAATCGGGAATAACAAGTAAAACAGAGAGTTTATATATACAAGAAGACAGTGACTTAGTCACAAAAGGTTCACATCAAAGTCTTTATTTTTCGTGCAACGTTCATGACAGAAATTATTTCACATGCAAGCACCCCCCCCCCCTTTACCACCCTCTTATTTTGCAAATATTATAAAATCCACACTGTCTTCAAAATAAATAGCAGAGTTATTTCTCTTTTGCTTTGTGTGAGATATATTGTTTGAAGCAGTTATAAAAGACACTAAGACATAGAATGTAATGATAAGCCTGATACTTGTTTATACATAGATGATTATTGTTGATTTTGGAATATTGCATGTAATTAATTGAGGGATACTATGGGAAGGAGTGTAATATGCCAATATAACTACAAGAATCAAAGAAAATACATTGAACATCAACCTATGTCTTGATGAGTGTGTGATAAATGTATCACCTCATAACAGTAACATAGCAGTTGGGAAGTTACTTTGTAGTTAAATTTTTTTCCTTTGAAGATTTTTAATAAGTAATCAAGGGTTAACTTTTTTACCAAAATTATTGTTAATTTTCATTAGAATAAAAAGAGGACATTCACCAGTAGATTGGGCAACGTGAATCCCACCAAAAGTAAGAAGATTTTCATGGAAGGTTACAGGTGTCATATTTATACTAAATAGACACATCTCAAACAAAGTATACTTTTCATGGACAGGTAATAATTGTCTCATCTATGCTTTTGTAAAAACAACTGCAAAAATCCTTTCTATCACCTAGACCAACCAAAATATGTAATAGAATTTTTACTATTATCAGTCTCCTTACCTTGTCTTCATTTTCATGCTAAGGTGTTGTTTGGATTAAATATGTACTAAAGTAATTATTGGATACAAGTTGGCAATATTTTTGTTTTATTTTCTAAGGAGCTCATATCTGTGCACATGAATGATGACTTTAATTAGCACCATTTTCATGCTACCTGCTTGATTAAGATTTTTTAATCAGTCCTTAACAATACATGTTATGTCACAGTATGGCTGACTGGTGTACATGTCTGTATCACATAAGTCAAATGACCTTGAACTTTTGACCTAATTATCATACTCTAGTGGTTAGCCTAGAATTATTTTGAATTTTGGGGGAATTTATTTATCCTAGTAGGAAAGACGTCTTTTTAAAACTTATTTTTTAATAAAGTAATTGAAATGAACAAAAGTCATTTATTTGAAAAAAGAAATGACTTGTTTATGTTGATACGTCTAAGCAAATGATTGTTTGGTGCAATTTTAATATTTTTAGAATATAACTTGGTTCTTGTCACAATTTATATGTAAAAACAGTTATAGAATAAAAATAACCACCTATAGGACTTCAATTTTATTCTTATGATTGTTTTTAGCCATAATTTCCCTTTGTGAGCCCCAAGTTAATAATTATGTTATATTCCCTAAAGGATAATTATATCTGATGAGGATGGTGCATAATTTGTTTTAGTTTGAAAGCATATCACAGAGCAATGCCAATAAATGATTGCATTTCTGTTCAATATTGATGTCCAATTCTGAATGTAAACTATTGTATGATACTGTTCTATAGTAGTTATATGAAATAATGTATTCATAGGTAAGGAATTTTCTTATCAATTGGAAAACAAAGTAAAAAGTTTAATTTTGAAATTATTTTATTTATGCAACTTTAAGAAAATGCTAATGATTGTATGTGAGTGAACATGTATTTAGGTACAAAAATGTTTGAACTTGCACTCCAGAAAGCTGATACTTTTAAAAGATGAGGTGCAGAGGGTTTTTTGTTGTATTAAATCATTTGTATGAAAGATAAAATGAAAACAATTGCATAACAACATCATTCTTGTGTGCTTTGCTTGTTATCCAATTAATAATCAATTTTTGACTAATTTCTCATCCTATTTCTGGAACTCTAGGACCTAAGAATGCTGCTAGGCATATTTTTCTTTTCCCGGAACCTAAAAAAAATTACCCTAAGGATAAAAGAAAATGGAGTAAAAAACCAACTACCTAGTATTAATTTTAAAATCTAAAAAGTTCTGTCTTTAAACAGGATGGGCATGTGATACCCACGTTTAATATATGTTTTTATGCCCCCACCGAAGTGGAGGGGTCATTAAGTTTTACTCTTGTCCGTCCTTACATCCCAAAGTTGGTTTCCGTTCTCTAACTTTAGTTTGCCTCAACCAAATGTTATGAAACTTATAAAAAATGCTTATTACCACAAAACAGATCAAGTGTGAATTTTGGTGGCGTCACTTTTACCGTTCCAGAGTTATGCCCCTTTACAAATGGAAAAATTACTGAATTTTTCGTTTCCGTTCCTTAACTTTAGTTTGCCTCAACCAAATGTTATGAAACTTATACACAATGCTTATTACCACAAAATACAGATCAAGTTTGAATTTTGGTGGCGTCACTTTAACCGTTCTAGAGTTATGCCCCTTTACAAATGAAAAAATTACTGAATTTTTCGTTTCCATTCTCTAACTTTAGTTTGCCTCAACCAAATGTTATGAAACTTATACACAATGCTTATTACAACAAAATACAGATCAAGTGTGAATTTTGGTGGTGTCACTTAAACCGTTCTAGAGTTATGCTCTTTCACAAATGGGAAAATTGCTGAATTTTTTGTTTCCGTTCTCTCATTTAATTAGCCTCAACAAATGTTATGAAACTTATACACAATGCTTATTACTACAAAATAAGGATCAAGTTTGAATTTTGGTGGTGTCACATTTACTGTTCTAGAGTAATGCCCCTTTATTTTAATTTAACTTTACCCCACAACTCTTTGAATTCTGATTCTTTAATTTCTTAATAAAACTTGAAGGAGATTTTGGTTTACACTAATGAGAAAGCTAACCAACAACACAACATAACCAAATAGACATTTCCTATTCTGACATCGGACTCGGACTTCTCCTAAACTGAGTTTTACTGTGCGCACTGTTGTACGTTTGTTTTTTCTACATTGGCTAGAGGTATAGGGGGAGGGTTGAGATCTCTAAAAACATGTTTAACCCCGCTGCATTTTTGCGCCTGTCCCAAGTCAGGAGCCTCTGGCCTTTGTTAGTCTTGTATCATTTTTAATTTTAGTTTCTTGTGTATAATTTGGAGTTTAGTATGACGTCCATTATCACTGAACTAGTATACATATTTGTTTAGGGGCCAGCTGAAGGACGCCTCCAGGTTCAGGAGTTTCTCGCTGCATTGAAGACCCATTGGTGGCCTTCGGCTGTTGTCTGCTCTATGGTCGGGTTGTTGTCTCTTTGACACATTCCCCATTTCCATTCTCAATTTTATTACAATCTTCAGTGCATATTTCAAGCTTTAATTCACTCCAAATCTAGGCAAGTTGTGAAAGTATTCTGCAGAAACCACTAAAGACCTGTTATATTGGTTCCTCAATTGACAAAAAACTAGGAATCAATAAAAACCACTGACTTACGACAGGTACATAAACATGTGGCCAGGTTAAAGTCATGTTAATTCATCTTTTAGATAACTCAGTAATATTTAACACATTAAATTCTTCTGTACAAAATGATCAAAGCAGAAATCAACACTAACTTATCTGTTTGTAGTAGCTTCAGACAATAATTTTGTCTCTTCAAGTCTTGCTGAGCCATGTTATTTTTAAAATTTGGCAAATATCATTTGATTTTGATGAAGCTCTAATGTTTTAATAAGATAACAGATTTATATCTATTCTGCTTAGTTATTTATCAAATTATGAAAGAATTCAGCCAAGAATCTGGGTGTATATGTATAGAAGATTACATAGAGCATCATAGTTAGTATTGTAACTTAGAAAGGTTGAAAAAGTTCATTCCATGTATTGCCACTAATTCCAGGAGTTTTGGATAATAGTGCCAAAATGAATTGAATACATGTAAGTTTCCAATGTTTTTACTATGTGTTACAATAGAATATATTATTCTTGTGTCTCCCCTACAGGTTCTCTCCAGTGTTGTTCTTCCTTTTGCAAATGCTTATTTGTATTATGCCCATCACGAACAGATGTATTATGTTATAGCCTCTCCTTCTGTTTGTCAATGCCAGTGTGTATCTTAATAATTTACTTAACACAATGTATGAAGACAAGATCTCTTTTGATTATGACAATTTTCCTTTTTTGTTGTTCCAGATTTCCAGAGTTATCAAATATTTGATAATTATCAGCAGCATGTCAAATGATAACTCAAGTTTGCTGTTATGGATTGTTTTATTTGTACACTATGTTTAGTTTTATGAAGATGTATCCCCATTCTATTTGGATTTATTATAATGTTTTTGACCAGTCCGCCAGTCCGTCCATCAGTCCGTCCGTCAGTCCTGTTCTTGTCATCACAATTCCTCTGAAACCACACAAAAGAATTTCATGAAACTTTGTAGATGATAAGAACATACTTATGTAGATGTGCATATCCACAGGAACTTATAATTCAACTTTTTTCCTAGGAGTTATACCCCTTTGAACTTATAATTTTTGCCTAAATATACTAGTTCTACTGCAACAGTTTGTCATCCCAACTCATCTGAATCCACATAACAGAATTTCATGAAACTTTGTAGTTATTTAGGACATATTATGTAGATGTGCATATTGACAGGAAATTTTGATTCAAGATTTTCTCCAGGAGTTATGCCCCTTTGAACCTAGGATTTTGGACTAAATATACTGCTGCAACAGTATGTCATTGTAAGTCCTCTTAAACCACACAACAGAATTTCATGAAATTTTGTATATAAAAAGGACATACTATGTAGATGTGCATATCGACAGGAAATAAAGATTCAATTTTCTTTTGTAGGAGTTAAGTCACCTTGAACTTAGAATTTTGGCTTGAATATACTACTGCAACAGTTTGTCATCGCAACTTCTCTGAAACCACACAACAGAATTTTATTAAACTTTGTAGATTATAAGGACATTATATGTAGATGCCCATATTCACAAGAAAATTTTATCAGTTGACTTTTGAAGGAGTTATGAGTCTTTGAACTTAGGAATCTGGTGAGATTTTTTTTGCCCATTGACAAAGGGGGGGGGGGGGGGGGCATGGGGTATGTGATCGTGCTCACAAAGGTGTTTTAATTTTTTAAGTTCTCATTCAAGAGATCTGGGACTTTCATCATGAGAAATTAAGCAATTGGGAGCATATCTCAGCTCAAATTTTCTTACATTGAAATTTAATAGTGTTGGTCTGTGAATACAAACTAAATGTGAAAAAACAAATTACATCTTAATTTTGATGATTTTTTAAAATTTTGTATCAAAGCGATGCATTCTGTCAACAGCAGTCTACATTTAGGTTCAACCTGTGGTTAAAATTTTTTTTAAAGGTCAATAACTTTGTCAAATCTCAAAATAGAAATAAGGATACACGAAGAGATTGTTCATGATTTGTTCACATATAGAATACACCTTGCAGGTTGAATTTTCAGGTTAAATAACTTTTAACTCACTTGCTTTCTAAAGTTTTCGACCAAATGGTTATAAAACTTTATGAGTTCATCCTTCCCAATTCGTAAATAGTCAAATTTTAAGCAATTTTTTCATAGAATTACACAACACATTTGTAAAATATCCGCCAAAGGAAGTTTTCACAGATCCAAGACAGAAAATTTGATATAATTTATATTTTCAGTGTACAACTAAGGGAAGTAATCCCTCAAAAGGGCCAAAGTAATGTGGTACAAATCATATGAAGAAAGTAACTAGCATTTTGCCATATGAAGTTACTCCACAGATTTTATTCATTTTCATCTAGTTTCATGCAAAATTTCACAGAAATCCATGAGATATCAATTCTTGTTCCTCACTAAATGGACAAAAATTGGAGTTAATTTGGTACATTGCATGATACATGTTTTAAAAACCTGTCTCAAATATTTTTGTTATGTTGTAGGTAAACAAAGTTGGAATTATAAGCAAAAGTAACAGTAAGTAAATGTTTATCATCAAGAGGCATTTAAAGGGGCATTAGCTACAAGATAAAGAAAAAAATGATATGATTTTTTTCTTCAAACATTAATGAAAGTGAAATAGTGATATAAATTGGCTTTTAGCAGCCAGTTTGGTTTAGTTTTGTCAAAATAAGCAAAGAAACATTGCTAATGAATTATTCACTTGCAAGTGAATAATTCCACCTCATTAAATCCGTATTCTTGTGAACTTCAATTGAACCCTATAGCTAAAGATAGGTTTATGCATGAACTAGGTGTGTTCAGCTATTAGAAAGAAAAGAATGTCAACATTGGAAGTGAAACAAGGGTAAACCATTTGGTTGACTGATTCGATCTACAAAAACTCATTCTTATACAGGTAAAAACGATTATTAACATTTTTTTTAAACCTATAGTATGAAATCAAACAGACCTAGAAAAACCCAATTGCACAAGTTTGCTATCTATTTATATCTATGTTTATGTTTATATTGGGTAATATAACCGTCCATAGTCTTCAGAGGTCACCTCGATGGTTAATTAGATGGCATCTAGACTAAAATACATATGAAATGCTGATACATATTATGAGTCTGTGCATGGTAAATTGTTTATTTTAGACTTCTTATCATTTGGATATACGTTTTAGTATGTTACAAATCAAATATGAGAATTTGAGTCAAATTGGTGAACATGAATTTGCCAGCTAATGCCCCTTTAACATTTCCAAATGAATTTAATAGTTTCATTACAAGTAGATCATTTTACATCACTTAAGAAGGAGTAGATTTGATAAGGGTGCAAAAACATCCACAAACAATTTGTTGTGTCATCTTATACATTGTTATAGTTAAAAACATCCAGAAACAATATGTTGTATTAACTTATAGTTAAAAACATCCAGAAACAATATGCTGTATTAACTTAAAGTTAAAAACATCCAGAAACAATATGCTGTATTAACTTATAGTTAAAAACTTCCAGAAACAATATGCTGTATTAACTTATAGTTAAAAACAGCCACAAAGAATATGTTGTATTAACTTATAGTTAAAAACATCCACAAACAATATTATGATGTGTTATCTTATAGTTTAAAACATCCAGAAACAATATGTTGTATTAACTTATAGTTAAAAACATCCACAAACAATATGTTGTATTAACTTATAGTTGAAAACATTGACAAACAATATGTTTTATTAACTTGTAGTTAAAAACATCCAAAACACTGATCCGTAAACAATATGTTTTATTAACTTATACATTGTATTTATTGTTGTTTCTCTTATTACCTAGTAATTAATGAGATTTTTATATGATGGACATCCATCCTTTTTTTATCCTATGTTATCGGATGTACATCCGCATACTTTCTTTCCCTATAGATATAGTTAACATATTCTGCAGCAAAATATTGCATTGTTCAAACATAGCAGAAATTATACAAAACATGGACTCTTGCACCTACCCTAAAACAGCATCTAGTACATACAACAGTAAACTTCAGCATGAAATAAAACCTAAAACAATATCATTTTAATATTAAAAATCTTGAGTTTTGACTACTATAATCGGACAAAATAAGCTGAAACTTTTTGAGTTTAGATTTGTGTTAATTGTCTTGTATATAAATTTTTTTTACTATGCCTAAAAAATTCTTGCATGGTTATTGGGCAAATATTAAATTTAAAATTTTCAGAAATAAAATGTGAATATAATCATCTTTTAATGGATGTCATTAATAACTTATTTGGCTGGTGAAAATGCAACTGCCAACAATATTTGTAAATCTACCTGTCAATTTAATTTGGGGTTGTCTCCCTTGAGGCCTGTAACAATATGTATAATTTTAGGTATGAAGTGTTAGAGATAAGTCAGTAGTTATTTTGTCAACTTTAAAGTACTTAAAAAAATGAAAATACTTATATGTTAGGTAAAAAAGTTTAAAATTTGATTTTTATGCAAAATTCATCAATTGTTGGAAAATCAAGAAGAATTTTCTTAAACATTATTTTAAAAATTTAGTAATTGTACTTTTCAATTTGTCACCAAGTTGTCATTGGTGGCATCTCTTCATTGAAATCAATATTGGTGACCTTGACATACATAAATATGAGTCATCTCACTTCTTATTTACATTCTGTGGAATTGGTGCTCCAGTTTATTTATGTCAGTTTGTGTGTTTTTGCTTTTTCATCACAGTATTATTGAAGTTTGTGACCATATATGTTCAGATGCATAATAAATCCAGCAATGTTCTATTTTTCTAGATAGTGATAATTTGACTTCCAGATTATTGTAGCCATACATTAGAGCTGTCGATTATTTTGGAAGTATTTCTGGAACCATAGCATGGCAGAAGCTATTGTTGGGCCAGTCCAGAACTTACAAGTACAAGGTAATTAACAAACCAAGGTTTCAAAACTTGCATAGTAATTAACATGTTTTCCATGTAATTTTGTTTTGCATTTTCATAGATTAATTTTCAAGATAAAGCATCAACATTGATTCCTTGGAGAATCTCAGTTGAATGGAAGATCCGGAAAAAATCAATAACACAACATCAGCTACATATAAGTTGACTAACAGGAATTATCCTGATCAGTTTGTCATCTGACGTCTGCTTGAGTCTTGTGACTGTCTGCAAAAGGTAAGAATGTTAAACCATATGTAGTCAAAATTTACAGGTGTAAAAAACTATAATTGGTATACATTCAATAAAAGTGTAGATTGAACAAAATTGTCAAAGAAATAATTTTGTTGAAGGGGTGAGATGGGGGTGTGGTTAAAGTAGGGGTGGTATAACTATAATGAAAAAAGAGACTTTTAAGTTCGATTTTACTTTAAAAAATTTCCTTCAGATGGCTAATTTTTGTCCCAAAGGATTTTGTTATAGTAACTGATAATGATTTTTTCATATTTTTAAAAGTAGTGACATAAGTCTGATATTATTTATATATAATTATTAATAAGGCAGGATAATACACAATGTTTAATGCATAAATAAGGTGATGTGGTATGATTTCCAATAAAACAACTATTCACCAAAGACTAAGAGACAAGGATGAAAAGAAAATTTAAATGATATGTGTCTGCATAAATATTGGGAATCCCAGCTTGATGATTCCATTTTATACAATGTTTTTGTCAGATGAGATAATTACATAAAAAAGTTTCTTTATGGCTGGTTTGCTTTAAGTTTTCCCATTTTTGTCCATAATATAAGAAGCTTTTTCCATAACAAGTGAATTTGTTTGTAATTGAGAGGGAACATGTTATTTTAAAGTAAGGTGATCACTTGATAGCTAAACAAAAATTTGAAATTTGGATGGAAATGCACCATTTTTCCACTCAACAAGAAATTTGTCATAAAGTTAACAAATTAAATTTCCTGTTTTTTTAACATAATTTATCAGATGGATTAAATACATAGTACTGCAGAAAAAAATCCTGTATATGCAAGCTCTTCTGTATGAAATAATAACTGATACTATAAAATATAATACAGTTAGACTGTATTCTTGATTTTATTTTGCATTTTTCATCCTGAGCTTTAAGAAGTAGAAAGATGAATTTAACATGTGTTCCTGGTTTACCTAGTGTTCCATGCTGTTAAATATTTTATCCATGAGGAAAGAACAGCAAAGGATTTTTTCTCTTGTTTTTTTTACAGCCATTCTGTCTGGCAAATTTTGATACTGATTAAAATTGTACCAAATAATCTAGATACACCCAACATATCAAGTTTGATGTCTTAAATAGACTGCAAGAATTACAGGTTTGACTATTGGTCTGCCATTTCATATTATATTCTACAACTAATGTAAATTTTTGTCAGATGTCATGTATGGCCTGTATTCCTTGAAGTGGGGATCTTCAGTTTATGTGACTGACTTCAGAACTGAGAAAAGATTCTGAAAAGTTTAACATCCAAATAGATCTTTCTTATCAGTTAATCAGCTCCTCAAGGATAAAGCTGTATTGGAAGTTATTAATTCAAGAAATAAATTTCAGTAAATAACAAGAAATAATCAATGAGAAATAAGGTGTGGATATAAAAAAAGAAGATGTGGTATGATTTCCAATGAGACAACTCTCCACAAGAGACCAAATGACACAGAAATTAACTATAGGTCACTGTACGCCTTCAACAATGAGCAAAGCCCATACTGCACAGTCTGTAATGTAAAATAAGGTGTGGAGTTAGTAATGTAAAATATTTGAATATATAAAATATTATTTAAGTAAAACAAAATGGGTTTTTGTTGGATACAGATATTGAAAGTAACAATTATAAAATGGAACTACTAAAGCAAGAAAAAATAATCATTAATTAAAGGTTTGTCAATACACTATACATGCAGAAATAATACATCATTTGATTGGAATGTGAAGGGTGGGAAGCCTTTTAGTTAGTGCAAGGATGACAAACTTAGTTAATAATTAAAATTGAAATTCAATAATCAATAATTTTGTTTGAATACAGCTCATTGCTGACAAATATGGCAAGATAATTTAATTAGAAAAAACTACACGTTATTTGTCTGAAACATAGATATTAAAGTTGTCTGAAACATAGATATTAAAGTTTAAACATGGTTTTAATGTGTAAGCATGTGTCAAAAACAATGTTGTTTCAGACAGACATTAGGGTGCAAGGAATCTAAACTGGATTAATTTAGATGGAAATGAGAGGACATTGAACTCCCAACTCTCTCTACACATGAAAATCTTTGGAACAATGAATGATCTCTAAACATTTTGACAAAATTGAATACTTTGCCCGTAGTGCCTTTATTTTCTGATTCGTTCACAGTTCTCTTTCCTAATCTCTCTGCCCATCCCTACAATACACACATTTTGGTTCATCTTTGAAACTTCCACTCATCATTATCTACTAAAAGAGTTAATTTGAGCCCTATATTGTTTGGAAGTATATTCTATCTCTTATGAAAAGTAGTTTTATCTTGCAAATATGTTACAAAAGAGGAATAAATCAACAACAAAAAAGAAGAATTATCAATGTAAATTATTGGCCAGTCCAAAACTTTTGTGTCTTGACAAAAAACTTACCAAAATATCTGCCATTCTTTAATAAAAAGATACAAACATTTAATTGATGGTTGGAGTTGTCTGCTGTACTTTCTGAAAGTTTTTGGTAATTCCTGTTTTCCTTTTAAGGTATTATTATTCTGTTGTTAATGAAGGCAATGCTGTTTGACATTTCATCAAAAAATCATGTGATATCTGTCCTTGACAAAAGTTAAAATAAAATCATGTAATATCTGTCCTTGACAAAAGTTAAAATAAAATACCATAGATGATTAGATAGACAGCAAACCATACAAAAATTAAGAACTTTTTCATGCAAAATAACTTTTGTAATTTGTATTTTAATGCCCCGGCCACAAGGCGAAGGGGGCATTAAGTGTTACCCTTGTCCGTCGGTCTTTCCGTCTTTCCGTCCTACTGTCCTTCTGTCAGTCCCATTTACGAAAAGCAAGTTTTAGCGGGGGAATTCGTGTCTTTAGACACATTCTTCTTTTATTTTAGATTGATTTATACTTGTTTTGGATTTTATTATTGAAGGATAAAGATGATAGGTTTACTGTAATAACTTAATACTTTGGGTTCCTAATATGTTTAATGATCAGTTTTTCCAGTAAAAAGTTCATAAAAAGATAATAGTCTGCAAGAAATATAAATTATTGATGAATAAAGCCATTTTATTGTTATTCAATAAATTCTTCATATAATATATTGGACTTTTCTTCTTTATATCAGAGAGATATAATCTTATTATAATTTTACATTGTTTGGTAGTAGTCTGAAACAAGTTTTCTGGTGACAGAGTTAGTCTTGTGATTTAGTGATAAAGGAAGACATAACACAAATATTTATTATGGTAAAAGTTTGCGTTTTTTTTTTCTTTCTATGGGATAACAGATATTTCATGAAAACATTCTTCATGATCAGGCCACATTTAAAAAAAAAATGGTGGTTTACCCTCTCCCTACCCCCTTTAAGAAGGAAGTAAATTTCTTTGTTTTTTTTTTGGGAGGGGGATCATCAGACTTTTTTAACTGAAGAAGTCAGAAACAAAGGACAAAAAAAAAGATATTCTGGTCGGAGCTTATTTAGAATGGGGACATTGTGATGAAGTTTGACAAGACATTGAAATAATTTAATTTTAACTGTAAATAGAGATATCTACTCACTTTAAACATTTTACTATACTATTTGATGAATTCCTGCAACACTTTAACCACAAAAATAAGAGCTCGCATTCTACTGTAAAAATTCAATGATAACACAAGACATTTTACAGGTAGGCTGCATCAAAAACTTTACAAATTTTGACATCGCTTCTTTATTTCTTTAGTTTGTTTTATTTTGTTGAGAAATCAAGGTCTGAGCTCAGGTAATTTTTGTCTTGCCTTGACAGAGTCAAAAAGAGAGACAAAGGTATGCTGTTTCCAGTGTCGGCGGCATCGTCGTCAACAATATATTAGTTTGTGATTAGGTCTAGTTTATGGTGAACCACAAGTGGTAGGTCAATCATATTTGGTATGCAGTTGTATTAGCATTGGCACATCTCATTTCCATGGAGATTATTTGGCCCTGCCCCCTCAGTCATGGTCTATTGACTTTGAAACTTTTGCTTATTTTACATGTATTTGTTTGTGATTAGGTCAGTTTATGGGGAACCACTAGTGATAGGTCAATGATATTTGGTATGCAGTTGTATAAGCATTGGCATATCTCATTTCATTTTTTTGTCAAGATCACCAAACATGGCTTACCACATACCACTATTCCCGGGATATCTATTATCCATCAAGATGGTCATTGATATAAAACTATAGAGATAAAAAAATCAGTTGCTTATCAGTCTTTTTCTCTGCTCTCCAATGAACATGATGAAGGTCCCTTACTGTAATAAAGTCAGGTTTATACACATTGAGAACAACCAATATTTCTACCATTACAATAAATAGAAACTTCAGATTTCACAGCTCAATTAATTATTCATTTATGGTTGTTGTTTTTTGTATTGGTGTATCTTTGATATACCATACCTATTTAGTATTCATGTATTATAATTGTATTTGTGTCTCAATGGAAATCTCTTCTCTCAAGAGGTAATAGAAGAACAGTGCTCGAAGAGGGTGGTCTATTTAAGTTAAAAGCTTTACCAAAAAAAAATAATGTTTACTTTTCTTTTTAATTGATTCCAACACATTCAAGAGAAAAATGCCTGTAGAATAAAATCAATATTGATATTGAGGCTTAATTGTGTAGGAATTTAATTGTAGACAGAGCCAGAAACAATTACAATGAATTAAGTTTATAAAAATCAATAGTGACATTGGATACATTTCAAGGAATTTAAAGAGT